CCTGTGTGTGAACCTGTGTGTGAACCTGTGTGTGAACCTGTGTGTGAACCTGTGTGTGAACCTGTGTGTGAACCTGTGTGCGAACCTGTGTGCGAACCTGTGTGCGAACCTGTGTGCGAACCTGAGGTCGCGTATGATCCAGAGCCTACTCGTAGGCTTATTGTTGTCACTCCTCGAACACCAAACAACCCTCTCTATAGCAACTGGAACAGTCTCTCCAGCGAAGACAGGAAGAAGCGGGAAAGGAGCATGATCAAATTGGGGCTTCCTATCCCGGGTAAAGATTTCGAACTGCCTGTTCGGGATTGTGAACCTCCTATTACAGAGCCTGAGCCTGAGCCCGAGCCCGAGCCAGAGCCAGCTCCCATGTCTAGTTCATCTTCTGGGTCTTGGGATATGCCAGTGGTGAGCGATGATAGATTGACTGAGGCTCCTCCTCCTCCAGAGGCTGAACCTGAGGCTGAAACAGAGCCCGTCCATATGTCGAATTCATCTTTTGGGTCTTGGGATACGCCAGTTTCAAGACATGCTAGATGGGGCTGACGTGCCTGAATTTCATCATTTGCTATTGGCAAATAAGCATGAAAGGTAAGCAGAAACGAGAGTGGTAGTAATGGAAGAACGAAACTCAGTGTTGTTCGGTTGACCAGCGTGGTTACTATAATCACCTTCATGGTTCATGTTGTCTGATTTGCGTGGACTGGGAATTTAAGGAGCCTGTTGTTGTTTCTACTGTTTCTCGTGCTGGAATAATATGTCTAGTCAAGCTCTTAGAACTGCCCACAACGGACATTGTTTTATCGCAGCTTATGTCCTAACTTTGATGCACATGGCTAAATTGAAACTATTTGAGTTTTTCTGAATGTGGACTCTCTGACCCTTGCTGGACCTCAGTGCAGCTCTGGGTCCTGTCTTTCACGAAATATGTTTGTTGCTTCTCGGATACTAGTATTTCATACTGACACCGGTGGCTCTGAAGGATATGGGTTATTGTAATTCATCAAATAATCGTCTTCGCCCACTTCAAGGTCAGTGAGCTTTGTATCGATCACACAAGATACATTCTGACTAAACCAAAACCTCCACAGAGGCCCAATTGGTAGGTAACTAGTAACAGCCTCGACACCCTCCCAGGTTCAGAAACCACCCTAGTGGATAAGTAATCGAAGAGGAGAATGATAATGCAAGAACAGAGCTGAGGAATGTGAAAGCTGTAAAGTAACAGATGATAAAGCCGTCTATAACTAAGATCTGTTTGCTCAAGCAGTTTGGCGAGTTGAAGTTGACCTTCATTCTGAAGCTATAAACGCAGGGCAAGAACGTAGGTCTTGGGGCTATGGAAATAGAGGATGGTAGCTCGCAGACAACTAGTGAGCAGTGTGCCACACTCGTTCATATTTAGGCATTTCCGTGCGCAAATTCTTGTCGTCTGTGCATCTACATCCTGTTGTGTTTTCCGCGATGTCTGGGGCCTTCAATGGCATCCATCCCATTCAGGTACCCCATATTCATCTATGCTCCTGTAGATGGCATTGAACTCGTACAGGCTTGCATAAGACCGATAAAATGGAAAGGTGAAAGTAGACCCCAGATCTACGATTAATGTACCTCTATATTTATCTTTCTTGACATCCTGGGGCATAATATAACCGCGTCTCGGAATGACAAAATTTGAAATGATTTGCTGGAACCCTTCATCTTGTCGGCTTAGTGGCTCCTCAGCGATGAAGTCTTTGACAATAGCCCAGCGGGCATTATTCCAGCCCGGGTCGTGCCTGTCCCTTCCACTTACTCTTCGAAGCTGCTGGAGTTGAGAATCAGTCAGATACATCCATCCGTGGCACTGGACTGCCCAGTGACCATTTTCGTGTAAATCGCATAGACGCGCAAAGGCACGTGATTCACATGCAAACGGGCAGATGAAGGCCAACGTTTTTTCTTGGACGGTGTAGGGTGCGTGGTAGTCATAGAACTGTATGTATACTTAGTAAGAATGATGATTCTTAGTTTGGGTATGTTCGTTACGGATAGTGAACCTACCAACTTCAAGCAGAGATCTCGCTTGTTGTGTTCAACCCGAAAAACAAACCCTTGCTGGCCCTTGTCGATGAATACAGGCTTAACAAACTCAGCTGCATGCCCAGCAAATCGCTTTAGCCTGGGACTTTGTTTCACTACCTCCTTAATGTTGATGATGGAGGAGTCGTGGGTGGTTGTGACGTCCAAACTCTCTTCTGACAGGAATAGGTCAACTAAGAGTTCATACGGTTGTGCTTGTTTATGATTTTCCATCTTGAGAAAAAGCTCAGCAGTGGCATTAGAAGGATGCTGCGATTAGTTGATAAGAGAAGCATCACATTAGGTCGTGATACAGGGACGATGCCCGTAAGGAGAAGGTCACATAAAGTGGCTGATATAAGGACACGGCGCCCAAACAAGTAAAGCGCAAGATATTTCCATGTCATGTGTGTGGCATTCCTTGCATTGAATCACGTGATGAATATGTCCACCAACATCCCCTGCTCGTATTCAAAATCATACTGCTTCACACTCTAAGTCCTTTAATCGAATAGACTAGAAGGGAGCGTTTGGTTCTGCAATTTGGGAGAATGATGTGGGCCGACATTTTTGTGACTAGTCAGCCAAGCTGGTCCAACTGTCATCTCAGCCCTATCTCCGGTTGTTAACTCCGTCATTGTTTCACCAAACACAAGTATTTTAAAGGTCTCTGTGCCCTTCCACCTTACTGAACAGATCACAGTCATAATAGTCTGACATCTGAATCTTGGCATATTCGTCTCAAAATGGTCAATGTTGCTATTGCGGGCGCGACAGGCGCTATCGGGCGTACCCTCCTGGAGGTTATGGCTTCCCAGACCCGCCATCGGCCGTTCGCCCTCACACGAAGAGTAAGTCGGCTTATCTTACTATAGCCGTGTAGTGCAAAATATCTTATACTTCCTAGGAACCCACAAAAATTGACTATCTACCTGCCCCGACATTCCAAGTCAATTATGAGGATATCAATTCACTCAAGTTATTCCTGGAAGAACACAACATTCACACGGTCATCAGCGCCTTTGGCATCAACGCAACCTCTCTCGCAGAGTCGCAACTAAATCTCATCAAAGCTGCTGAAGCGTCTTCAGTAACAAAGACATTCATTCCTAGCTCTTTTGCAATTCCTTATCCGGAAGAGTGAGCTTTCAACTTTCTGTTCATACCATGCATGACCTCTAACTTGCGCAGGGACGTCTCTATCCTTCCGCCTCTTGAACACTACTTTGCCTCTTTCAAGGCCCTCGAGAATAGTAACCTTGAATGGGCTCCTGTCTATAATGGCACCTTTCTGGAATACATCGCACCTCCAACACTGAAGTCGTACCATCCCCACAGTGTGCTGGTGCTTGATGTGGAGAACAATATGGCAGCCATTCCAGGGGATGGCAATGTGCCAGTCACTTTTACGTACACTTTTGATATTGCACGCTTTATTGTTGCTGCCTTGGGCCTCGAAGAGTGGCCGCGGGAGTTTCGTATTGCCGGTGACGAAATCACATTCAATGAATTGTTGAAGCTTGCCGAAGAGGTAAAGGGGGTGGGATTTGACGTCATCCATGATGCTATAGAGAAGCTAAAGACATCACAAATCACGGAACTACCTGGTCATGTTAAACCGTACAACAAGTTTCCCAAAGACAGACTTCAGTGGTTCTTAGCCATCGTTGAAACTTGGATGGCTACGGGTCAGGCGCGGATAGCGAGGGAGGGGAGTTTGAACGAGATGTTCCCGGAGATCAAGCCATTGACTGCTAGGCAGATGATGGAACGATATTGGAAGACTAGCCTCAAGTGATGATAAAGAGTGATTATTGTACCACACTTCCTCTTGAAATACCAAAAGCTCATAGGTCTGGTTGGGCTCAGCTCGGGCCACTACTAATGGTCCTGAACATTGGCTGTAGTGTCTCAAAATCTTGAACGCAGACTTGATGGGATGAACTTGGTAATTCAGAGAGCCTAATAGACGCACGAAGATCATTTCAGACGGATACAGACACCTCGTACACTATGTGTTAAGCCCTATGCTTACAGACTTCCACAAAATCCTAACCACAACGGAGAATTCCATTCTGCATGTTTCTAGATGCATTTCCGGAGGGTCCCGCTATCTCTGCCTTTTTATCTCTCCTCTATATTATCGGAAGCTCCCTACACAATCTCGAAGCCTTTCAACGAGCAACCACCTTATAAAATGGACTGCCGTTTCCCCCAGCTATTATCCTCTTCAGCACTGCCTTCGGACAAGCCAATATATATAGCCTAAGACCTTGGGATGGAGAGCCCCCGGGGTCTTTTGGCGCTCATAAACCAACAGCATGGGGAGTCATGTAGAGGTAGAAGTTCTGTGGGACACAATAGTCAATCTCTACCCCCAATGGCAACAGCTTTCGCAGAAAATATGAAGATGAAAGCCCCAAGACCAAAACCATGTGCGGATATTGCAGCGACCACGCATGACTGGCGTTCCTCCTTTATGATCAAAAAGATCTGACCAACAGTGCCTCTTCCACATGCACTATCAGTCATCAGATATGATCAAGTCTATATACTATCGCTTTTACGTCTTCAGCGTCACAGATGCGATGATACATACTCACCAATCACGAATCCTTTGACAATATAGTACCGGGGATATGGTCAATCTAGGGATTAACAGTGTCTACACTACGACATGTGGGTGCTCGTCCCTTGATTTCCAGAGACAATGGATGCGGTCCGTTCTTAACCAGCGACGTCTTCCATGATATATACGCCATGAAAAGGCCTTCTCTCGGCAACCGTCATAATCTTGCCGCACTCTCGGGCTCTTATACAATGGCCGACTACGATGATGTGTCTCTGCATTAGCCATGTATATTTGGAGTGATCTTCCTCCTACGGCACTCCCTGTCTCGCCCACTGCTTTCTATGCTGCTGAATACATAGAGATTTCATGTCTTCAGGTGGGGTACTCCGAAGGTCTGGTCGGAAAGGATTATATATATCACAAGATATGTTCCTTTGCTGAAACAACATGCGGCGTGGCCGTCGAGCAGCATACAAGGAAACACGCTCCAGTGCCGCTCCAAGTAAACGGGCATGGATATATCGGATAATCGTTGGTATGATGCTGAAAGTGATGTCTTCTCCCCTGAACATGAAGACATGACACCATCGAACACAAGGGGTTCATTCAGAAAGGACGAGAAAATATAGTCTCTAAGGAAACAGATATATATTACCTCATGGCTGCTTCAAAATCATCCACACACTGAAGACTGACTGCCTAAACAGAATTCCTGAGTCTTGGTAATAGAAAAATAGGCCAGAAAGCCATTGTCTTGCTACAGTGATTCCGACAAGCCCGTCAGAGACAACGCGCAGCTCAAAGATATACCTTGTCCTGAGCGGGTTTTGTATGATTCCGGCCTCATCTGAGGATCCCTGTACTCTCCAGGAGGTTCCTCGTGCATCATCTCCCTAGTTGAATCATAGGATAGATTAACTTTGCTCTATCATCCCTGTCGCAGGACTACGTGGGTGTCCCATCTTCTCAGAATCAGGAGTAGATAACGAGGATGTGGTGATCCTGCAACACTCTGCACGTTTGACTGAGACGTGGACCTATATAAAGCAGTTTCAAGCGCTGAGTCTGTACCGGCAGACGCTCCGTGCTCGTGCACCGGTGACTGCCACGACTACTATTGCTGCCATATAAACCGTTAGCACAACTGCTTCTATCATGATTGAAGAGAATACTACCAATAAGACCAAGAGAACGCTACCATCCATCAAGTCATGGTGTGTCTTGGTTTGTCAACACTGCTATCCACCATCACTACTACCACTACCACCTCCATCAGTACTGTCACCATATCCTCTCACAGTTACATCTACCTCTTAGAACATCACGTTGGGGTTAAAGTGCGGCTGGTCACATCGACATAGAGACTATTTCAGACCTTGCTGAACCCTTAGCTATGCGATTATCATACATGGGGTGTTGGCTTCTGACTGATAGACAGAGAGAAGTTTAGACCTGAAAGGGAAGATTAGGTAGTAGTAGTCTTCTTGGACTAGGAATGGGGAAAGTGGAATACGCGAGGGTTCGCTTCAATTGCCACAATCAGACACCAAACGGCGCACTTGCGCTGGCTATAATAGGATAATGCAGATCGATACCACTTATCCACGCTTTCAAGAACATTCATGTGCCATGTGACATGAGTAATACAGGGCTTTCACAGGAGATTACGATCTTAAACCGGAAGATAACTCGTGATCTAACCATTCCTCATGCCTGTTACAGATAATAGCATCTGCCTTTTCCTATGCAAACATGCTCAGATTTGTCTATACAAGACAAAGAAAAGCCTCACCCCATCCAGATAGAAGGATATCAATGCAGCTGTTCGTTCAAAAACAGCTTCTGTCAAGGGAGTCATACTCATGAAGGGCCTCTAATTTCTTCTGCCTTGGCAGTTTTTCTATCAGTTCCACCTCTCGTGAATCTTTTCAAAGAGTATAAATCCGATACAGACGATCAAGACGCTTGATGCGAAGCAGACCTCTCAAACTGGACTTTAAACAGACCCGCTGCTTCTTGGTAGCCATCACACAGGATATATTGAGGGCTGCGTGCGCAGTCAGAAGCGAGCAGCATATGTGAATTCCATTCCCATTACCAGCGTGTTGCTTGCCCCTTACCCTACTCCTATGGTTTTCTTCTTCCGTTGAATTGTGGTGTACAATGGGTTATATATAGTTATGGTGATGTTCATTTCATCATCTACAACAGAGAGTGTTTGTTATATGACCATTCTGTTGAGTAGAGAAAATGGGATATCTTGAAGCAAATACTGCCCTTATAAAATGCAGAAAGATCTTGATGTGGTTTTCGGTATCTCCAGCACTAATTATTATCAGTGTTCGACATATCACCATTCAGGCTCCAGTGCATGGAGAATAAAATCGAAAGTTTGAACTAAACAGCATTTTATCCCCTACTTAATGCTAATCGTGTTGCCGCTTTCTAGCCATGGTCTGCTTGTCTGCTATAGAGACATTATACTTACTACAGCCTCGCTCAGCTACGTAAACTACTCCCAAATTCTATAGACTTATATGATATATCAGGCTATGACACAGCAAATCCATTCACCAAAATCAGATTTAATTATCAAGGTCTATTCTAGTCGTCAATACCCAAACAACGCCTCTAGGCCAAATAACAACCATTCCACAAATTCATTCCAGAGCTCCCCCACCACCATCCAACAATCAACAACTCTCCCTCTCCCTCTCCTTCCCAACCCTAATTCTCTCAACCAACTCCCCCACAACGCCCGCCCCCTCCTCCAACCCCTCCGGCAACTGCACCCCAAACCTCTCACAAACCAACCTCACATTCCCACTCTTCCAATACCCCCTCGGACAAACAACCACCACCTTGCCAGGCTCCCGCATACAAAGCCCCAACTCCAACAAACTGATCGGCGCCATACTCGCAGGATCAAAGTGAAACAGCACAATATCAGCCCGTTCCCGCTGCTCCATCTCCCACGAGACCTGTTCCTTGAACGGCGGGAAAGAGGGGTCTTCGCGCCACGAACTGTCCCAGTCTGGACGAAAGGGGTCGAGGATTGTTAGATGGAGGGTTTGGGGGGTAGTATTGGTGTTGGTGTTGTGTGGTTGTAGTTGTGGCTTTGGGAGGAAGTAGTGGGCTAGGTGGGTGGAGAAGGTATCGCGCCATGTTGGGGGTGGTTGTTGCTGGTGGTCTCGCCGGGAGGAAGAGGAGGAGAAGGAGGAGATGCGGATTGGATTGGATGAGTCTTTGCTGGTGGTTGTGGGTGAAGGGGGAGTGCTGCCGGCGAGGAAGATTGTGATGCTGGTTGGTTTGGGCGGGGTGGTGGAGGGGGCGTGGATGGTTTCGATGGTGAGGTTAATGTTGGGGTTCATGATCTGGGTCTGGGTCTGCGGTTGGGGTTGGGGATCGGGATCGGATATTGTTTCTGGGGTGGGTTGGGTTGAGGGGGAGGTACTATTAGATGTTCGTTGTTTGTGGAGGCGAAAGGAGGGGGTGAACCGAGATGATGATTTGGACATGATGTTGCTAGTAGTTAAGTTGGTATGTGAGTTAGTTGTGAAGAGAAGCGGGGATGAGGGGGAGATAGTACACTATTATTGTTGGTAGCCATATCAGGATGTGATGGTGCCTTCATATATTTTACAGTGGGGTTAGAGATTGCATGATAATCCTGTTACATTGGAAGTCTCCTGTAGTTTTACCAACCAATGATCTTGAAGATAAAAGGAAATGATAGTACTATAATTTTGTCTCCCGTTCTTCTCTCGAACCTCCTCCCCCATTGAATAAATTTTGTCTAGACCCGTGACAGCACGTGAGAGCTCCGTTAACACTGCAGATAACCAAAATAGTCTCTGAACCCGTGGTCATGCATGAAGATCATCTATTCATGCAGATGTCACTCCCACCTCTTAGTATAGTCTGATGTGCATGCATTCATTCAACATATGCGTAGAACTGGTTGATTTACGCTAACTTGTTATTGCTTATGTACAGCCATACACTCGGTATGCCAACACCAATATACACAGAAAATTAATGCCACACGCATCAGGTATTGCTGATCGAGGCAGCACCCGACCCTGAGGCTGTCAGCGAGTGGATGCTCCCTGGGGGCACGCTTCCAGCTTCTCCGCCGGCGCTTGCGGGATCAAGGAATCGATGAGAGCCACCCTCAAGGTGGTTGCTCTCTCCGTCGGGAGTGGTTTTGATCTCCTTCTTTCCGTTCGCTTTGTAATACAGTAGCATATCCCCAGACGAGCGCCAGATGTGTGCCCGAATTGTCGCAAGAGTCATGTTTGGCGGGATCAGCTGTTTTGGTTAGCATTCTTGCTTGTACATGGACACCAACGCTACATACCATCTTCTGGCAATACAACTCCAGATACTCTTCCGGCTTCATCGCATCCTCTTCGGGCTCATCGGGGTTAGGTGGGTCGATCCGTTCTGCAACATACGCAAGGATCTTCTTGGCTCGAAGCATGCGATTGGCGTTCAGTCGATTGTTGTTCGCGTTTGCGCTCGTAGCCGGCCTGTCCTGGTTAGTCACAACTCTTCCACGGGTACACTGTACATACTCTGGCTTGACCACAGGCGGCAGAAGATCGTCGTAAGGTTTCAGAGTGAATGCAATCTTCACTGGCTCTTTCAATGGCATTTGATTCTACCAATATTAGCTGGATACCATAGTCAAAGGGGGTATACATACCTTGAGCAGCAAGTCCGCAAGCCATAACGGGATGGACTTCTCCAACTTGTCAATCTCCTGACTAATGCCTGCCACAGTACCCCTGTACAAGTCTGAAGCCACTGCCGTGTCGCCAGATTCCTCTTGGATAAATACGGCCGTGCGAGGAGGTATCTGAAGTTCGGGTGTCTCGTTGTCAGGACTAGGAGCAAAGGCGGACACCAACTCCTGCCCTGGGTTGGCAGACAGCCATTCCTCGTACTCATGCCGGGTTCGCTCGATGAAGCCACCCAGATTGGTTTCAAACACCTTCTCTTCCTTGACAGACGACTTGTCCGATTCTTCGATCTTCTCTTCTTGGATCTGGGGCTTGGCTTCCGACGAGGACCGGCCCATTCTCTTGGGAAAGTCCATCCGAAATTTCTTCCCAAATATAGATCCCCCCCTCTTTCGTTCTTCTTTGTCAGGCTCGACCGGTGATTGAGGCAGAGCAGTTGGCGTCGGCTCTCCGGGTGTAGCTGGCGCCTTCTCTGTGTCAAGCGGAGTCAGGCCCGGGGGCTTGGACGAGGAGGAAAAGTAATCGCTCGACCGGTCCGAGAAAGATGTTCGAGTCAGGTCCGGGTTTTGTTGTGATGACAGGAAGTCCGAAGTCTCGCCGATAGATGTCCCAAAGTAGCTATTGTTGTTGTAGCTATGTGGTGGTAGCACGGGTGACCCTAGCGTCCCCGGGCTCGTTGCGTAGCCGATGCCGAAGCCGGGCGTCGTAGGGCTACCAAGAGTGTCGTATCCGGACCGGAAGGTTGAGAACGAGGCATCTATAGGAGTCTGCAGGCCTAACGGCCGCCTCGATCCATCTACTGACGGTATATCCATCGGCGCAGAAGCGCTCGTCGTGGTCAATTTCGCCATTTCCTCCGCTCTTGCAACTGCCATGGCACGATACTGGGCATCGCGCCGAACGTGCTCATCGACCAGTGGTGCAAAGAGCCAGCGCAATATCCATTTGCCTAGGTTGACTGCTCGTCATTAGCACTCGATCACGCAGCAACTATAGAGTTGTTGTCATACTTCTCTGGTCGTCGCGGAACTGCGAACTATCTTCTATGTCTGTTTCGTCGGCGTATATCTCCGCGTCAAAGCAGCGTCCTGGCTCCAAGATCACTGACAACCTTCCGGTGCGGATGTCAATCGTGCACCAGTGAGCAATACTCTCCGTGGTGTTGATCTCAGAGGCCACATCATCCATATGCCGCTTGCCAAAGGATTGAATAGGTTTACACTGTAGCCATCAGCATCTGTTCGGTCTCAACCAAAATCATTGCATACCTTGAGAAGATCCCATAAGACAACCTCACCCGCAGAATCCTGGGTCAAAGTCCGTTTGCGGTCATTCAACATGAAGTGTTTGATCAAGCCGTGCTGTCCTTCTATCGTCTCCTCTGGCAAGGACTGGACGGGCAGGGTCAATCCCAGCTCATCCTCCATGTCTGAGCCGGAAGCCTGGCCCTGTGCATGTGATGCGCCGCCCGGTGCCGCGTCGTGAGGAACTCTCGAATTAGGGAATGTAGATGTGTTTGATAGTAAGAGAACCGATTCGTATGGTATCTTCTTGGGCATTCCTTTAGCCGCATCCTTTTCAGCGCTGGATTTTCGTTCCCCTGAAGCTGGTGCTTCTATCTCGGCTGTGGTATCGATATCCCTCCACCGATTGATGCTCGACTTCGGTGTTGCTGTCCAGATATAGTCTCCGGCAGCTACGACGTTGATAACGCCCTCGTGCTCTTGCAGCGCTGCAACGCAGACACCTTGCTCGATATCCGCAGAGTGCCTCGTGTCCGTCTTGGCGACCAAGCCGGATCGATCACTCGAATAGAACACCGACAGCTGAGGATGATTCGAATAAAGCGACCAGACACTGTCGTTGTGCATCGTCAAGGTGTGCATGCACCTTCCTGCTGTCAGCGACCAAACCTTAACCGTCTGATCGGAGGACGCGGTCATAATGGTATCGCCATCTTGATTGATGAGGATATCTCGGATATTGTCGGTATGGCCCACAAACTTGGTGATCAACTTTCCAGATTTCGGATCCCACACTCTGACCACACTTTCCGGTCCACCACTGGCCAGGACAGACGATACAGCGCCTAGTGCGTAGACCGATCCCTTTGCCGTCCGGTCCTCCCCGCACGCATCGATTCCAAGGACCTCACCGCCGCCATTCAGATCCCATAGATACAGCTTGTGATCCAGGCCGCCTGATGCAACCCACGAAGAGTGATTACCGGGGGTTGCCAAGGCTTTGACGTAGTCGGCATGTTTGCCGATAGGATGCGGCACCTCCGTGTTTTCCGAGTGTGTTCGCCATAATCGCACAGTGGTATCGGACGATGCGGAAACGAGCGCCGAGTTGTTCTTAGTCAAGACAATGTCGTTGATCCAATGGCTGTGGGCTTGGACTTGGTTTCTGAAGGTTGTTGAACCGGATTTCGACGACGATGCGCCGGAGAGGGGGCGGTTGAGGTCCCAGGAGCATACAACACCATCGCGACCAGCGGAATACCTTTGCAAGAATGTGGAGTTAGAATTGGCGTGGCTTTGACTCGGGAACGGGCGGAGTTTATCGCAGCCGGGTTTGCGGAGGACCAACTGGCGCAAGAGGACGGGGAAAGCTCACAGGATGGAATTGTCCGTATCGACCGTCAGACCATTAACGCCTAGTCTATGCCCACCAGGGGCATCGGGCAGAGGGAGGACTAGAGGGGAGAGAAGAAATTGAATGTCAGTCTCGAGTCCACTTTGGCGCATAAGTGGGAAGATCAGATAAGCGCGGAACGCAGCCGTAGTGTAACCAGTGAGTAGATGGCAGTAAATTGCAGACCAACTTCAGACGATAGACATACCATAAGTGACCCTCTGGTGGCTTGGTTTTCGGGCCATGCAGTGGGCGGGGGGAGAAAATGCAGTGGCAGAGGAAATGCGGAGGTGCAAGGGACGATGCGGAGGCAGAAGCGACGATCGCTCAGGCACGCAGAGACAGAGGGGAGGGGAACATTCCCCAAGTGGTAGGGAGCGAAAACAGGCCCGAAGGAGAAGAGAGCACAATAAGGAATGAATATAAACTGACAGAGAGCACAAAAGTAGGACGAGCAGGACGGGGAGAAGGAGGAGGAGGAGGAGAAGAGGGAAGTTTGTTGCCTGGAAGGAAGGAAGATGGGGGATGGAAATAGGAGATGTTACTGACGATGGGCTCACTTCGTTCCTTCCCTTTCTGGCGGGAGGCACGAGCCCCGGCTTCCCTCGGGGATCTGCTCATCTTCCACCTTCTTCTCTCCCCCCTCCTGCTATTGATCTTCACTTGATCTACTGATGAGCAGCCATCCAAATACGATGTGGAAACTACAGGCTATTCCTAATATCCCTCAATCTATTCCCACCATGCTGAGAGTCGGATTTGAGTTCCCAGTTACCGGCACTAATCTCCACCATGATATCACAGCACTTGAACTATACAAGAGAAGCCAAATGGCCATCTAGACATCTCAAACCTTCACTCAATGCGGCAATAGCCAAGAACCTCTTTCTCTTTCTCTGATATCATCTCATTCCACCTTTCATCCACTATACTACTTAAATACCTTGCCTCAACCCGTTCACTAACAAACCGCATACTAACTCCACTGAATACCACCTCACAGCTTACATCCAACAGTCTCCAGCCCTCTGAACAAAGAACCACCTCCATCCACATCCCAACACTACACCGCCATAACAATGATCAGAACCCACCCTCCATTCCCCCCACCCTCCCAAACCACCAAAGAAACCCCCTCTGCCACCGAAACTATCCAATCTCTCGACCTCCACCCACACCCCGAAGGTGGCTACTACCAGGAAACCTTCCGCCATCCACAAGAAATCCCCATAGCCAACGGCACGGCCACCCGCTCCGCCAGTACCCGCATCCACTACTTGCTCACGCCGGGGTCGCCGCTCGGTGCGTTCCACCGGAACAAGAGTCGAACCGTGCATACACTACATCGTGGACGGGGGCGATATGTGGTGATTCACGCGGATGAGCGGAAAGGGGGGAAGGCGCCGGTAGAGGAGTTTGTGGTGGGACATGATGTGGAGAGAGGGGAGAAGGTGGAGTGGGTGGTGGAGGGGGGGAAGTGGAAGGGGAGCTATTTGTTGCCTGAGAAGGAATATGAGGATGGCGACGGTGAGGAGAGGGGG